TCATATCAATTCATTATAAAGGTTTCAAATGTTGTCTATATATTAGACTAGTATTATAATTGTATTGAATTTAGAAGTTCATTATTTACACTGTTTAACAAAATCACTGCAATTGTGTCATTAATATGATCACATGAATTGAATGATTAACTAATAATACAGTTGTATTTGAGTGTCACATTAACAATGTGATCACATGTTGTCTATAATACAATTAACTACTGTACTTGCTCAATGTGAAAATGACATTCCCATAAATTAAATGAATGTTTTTATGATTATTTGATTTACTTTTAATTTGAGATTTGAATGACTTGAAAAGTTTAATGTGTTTTCATTAAACTATTTCCGTTACCAATGAAACACACATTACTAATGCAAAAGAAATGATATTTTATTTGAATATCTCATTTGGAGTCTTATAGGCTTTGGCTCTCCTCTGACTGCGGGCCGACTGTTGTTCGGGCGGAGGTTTGGGGGCCAACCCACGGAGCGGTACTTTAAAGCCGCCGCCCGGCAGCTCCGGGTTCCACTTCTGCAACCACTCGGGTCTCTTGAGGAACACCTCGTGGGCATAGGCCAAGTCGGCCTGCCTTTCCTCTTCTGATATATCCCACGGCCGACCGTAGTATCCGTTCGGCGATTCGCTCGTGTAATCAAAACCAGTGGTCGACTGTCGATCCAACGACACGCCGGGCGGTCCGCTCATCGATCTTCGTCGACCTCTCGAGCCGTTGGCATTCGGATCGATAGAGTCTCGCGAGGAAGATATGGGAGGCCCGCGGGTTGGCGGCGGTGTTCTCAAGCCCCCTCTCCGTGCCATAGGGTTGGTCTGTCTGAAGGTTCCCGGCTGTAGATCATAGGAAAGCGCCGGTGGGTTGTCATTACTCGAGCCATTCGATCGTTTTTTCTTGTTTTGTGGAAAACCATTCCCATTGAGAGGTCTGTTAGACATGATTTGTTGTCCAATCACTGATTGCGGCCAACACTCGGATTTGAAATTCAAATTTTCAGTACAAATCAGTATCTGATTGAGTGCTCCCCAGAGGGTCTGTTGTTTCCGTTATAACTTCAATGCAACAATTGAAACAATCAATTCATTTTAGCACAAGTTTAGTTTATATTATAAACTTTATAACCAAATTAATAATTAATTCTTTTATACTGTAATATTCATTCTGAGTGTGCTTATTCATTATAAAAGTTTAATAAAAGTATTAAATACAGTAAATGCTATTTTTCAAAAAAGTCTCATTTTGTTATATGTCTATCCAATTGTTTGTTTAATAGGTTTAATTGTTATCCAATAGGTTCATAAATTCATATGCTTAGTCACTGATGATTCAAATAAATCTTACAATCATACAATGCATTGAATGCACACTAACTATACGTGATTTCTAATTAATTTGGTTTTTAATAAACACCAGAATCTCGCGAACCTCTGAACGCAGTGAAGGCTATTTCAAAGCCGGCGTTGTGTTGGGTTTGCTTAGTGTTGGGCTTAAATCGCAGGAATATGTTGCTCTCCTCCCCCCTATTGGGCACCGCTATTATCTCTTTAGATTTATAGTCATCCCCTTTGGGTGACCAGGCTTTCTCCGGGTTGGAGCCGCTCCTGAAGTAGAAGGTGTCGTTGTCATGAAAGGACGCCTTCTTAATGGTGGTCACAATACCCGTATCGGAGGGTCCCGTAACCATCACATGACATTCAAAACCATCGGTCAGTTTTAAGCCTTCGTAGAGGTATGCGGTAATGATTAACACGGAATCGTTTCCACTACTTTGTAATTGCACTTTATTTATATTGTGGTTATAGCTCAGGGGTATACAGTACCCCGGAATAAATACGGAATAAAAGTATAAGAAACCAAAAACACATTGGCACTTATTTTAATTGCATTTTCTAGTAAATAAGTCGCTAGTAATGTGAACAAAATGGAGAAAATTCACATAATTTGGTCTAAAAAACTTTAAAATTTAAAAACATATTTTTCTTACAATCAATTTTATTAGGGAGTGATAAACTGGTTAAACACGTTAAGAGAAAGGCACTGAAATTTATTAAAAACATATTGAAATTATAAAAAGTAAAACTTATGAACAACTTTATGAAAACTTAATATGATTGATGAAAAATTAGCTGAAAACTTGAAATGAAATTATTTAACATAAAAGGCTGAGAGATAGTCGAGAAAAATTGGTTTGAAAAACAAGCGATTCAAACGCGNAAATTTATTAAAAACATATTGAAATTATAAAAAGTAAAACTTATTAATTAACAACTTTATGAAAACTTAATATGATTGATGAAAAATTAGCTGAAAACTTGAAATGAAATTATTTAACATAAAAGGCTGAGAGATAGTCGAGAAAAATTGGTTTGAAAAACAAGCGATTCAAACGCGATAACAGAATAATACAGAGGTTTGAGAAAAATTGTTGGTTTGGCTGCGAATTGAGGCTAAAGTTTCTGTCATTTGGATATAAAAGTGGAGAAAAGTGTTTTGAATAGTGAAGAGCAGTGCGATTAATATTGTGGAGAATACTTGACTGACATTGCAATTAAGGCACAGAATCACTATAAATAGTTTGACTCACAATTTGGCAATAGGTTTGGCAATAGTATTGTGCGTTTGTATGCTTTGTATGCCTTCCTCCTCCTCCGCCTCCTCTGCGGCTGTGGCTGTATATCGAAGAACTTGTTTTGTCGTACAGTTAGACAACCAGTTGTCTGAATGCGTGGTTGCGTTGGCTTTAAGGCACTCGTTGTTATGATGATATGTGTGGTGACCAAGTATGGGATGGCAACCATGGAGTAGTGCCAAACCGGTGCCTTCCTCACCACCAGCACCAGTACGGAGTCAAACATCTGTAGCCAAACAAACGCTCAGTTATTCTTACGAATCATTTCAATGAAAACATTTCTCGGGCTCTCATTCTCCCCACTCTTTGGGAACTTTCTTCTAATGTAACAAATGTTTGAGAGAAACACAAAAAACTTTGTCTTAAATTAAAATCTCATTTTATTGTACGAATGCTTTCTTTTTCATTCTCTACTGTTGTGTTAATCGCAAAACTATTTCTCATTTCCCTTTCTTTGCCTTTAATTTGGCTGAAAAGTTGTTTTTGTGTTCATTTCTACTGCGAAACTGTGTTTCCATTCAAAATAAGGTCGAGTCGGTTGTGGTGTGCAGTGTTCAGAGTTTTCTTGAATTTTTACGATTAAATTAGTTATTTATCATTACGTCATGAAAACCAGTCATTAGTAGTAAGGATTGATTTATTGAGCGATAGGTTATTTATTTACAAATATTTGAAACCTTTGAAGGCTTTACTGCTAAAAACCTTGAATCTAATTCCTAAACATTTATGGTTTTAAAAACATTTTTACTTAAATTAAATATTTTCATTGAAATATGATTTTATACTTTCTATTGTATTACATATAAGTGGAGCTTATATTCAATTAAATACAGAAGCAGTTATTTTTTTCTAACGTGAGGCACCCATTTATACCATATTTATATTAATATACAAATAAAGTTGATTAAAAATATTCTATATTTGTCTTAATTGAAATTTATTTTGAAATAATAAACTTCATTAATATTTCACTAGGAACTAAAAAATAGTTTAACATTGACTAAATTGAAATAAATTTTGATAAATTATTAAAATAAATAAAAGCAATCATTGTATTCATGCTATCGTTTAGAGCGGATATATAAACAATATATTGTGATAACTGTAGTTAAACTCATTTTCTTGCAATTCAGATGTTTTGTAATGATTTTAATTTTAGTACAAAATTTTTCTGTATATTTAAAACAAAAAATAGCTGCCTGATTATTATGAAAACAATGCCATTAAATAACTGAATAAACATTTTAAAAACATGTATTGTATTACAAATATTTTTGCTAAATGTATAAACACTCTCAACCATTATATTAGAAACTTTACCGATTTGTCTCTAGAAAATAAATATAGACATCACACTCACATTGGGCCAACAAAACTAAAATGCGTGATTAAATTTGCCCGGGTATTTGTAATGTAATACAATGTAAACATTGATACATTATAGAAATGCTAAATATACAGCTAGAATATATAGCCAAATATACAAACCTTTATGTTATGTGTGTCTTACGTTCACTTACATTAACATAACTAAACAGTAAATAAACTACGTTTACATATTCAAAAATAATCAAACGTTTACATAATTTAAATATATAAATCTGTGTTTCAGCGTTTATTTCCCATTTTTAGTAAACATTGTGTCCTTTGTCCTCATCTCTAATATGAAGCCAATTCTTATCCACAGAATAATCGATCGATTCTGTGATTCCTATGTCTGCAGAGGGAGTGCACTGCGAGTCCACAACCATTACGTCACCCATTGCTGAGACTGTCATGTGTTTTGTGTTGACATAGCATTGCAGTGAACGCACAGACAATGCAATCACACAATCACTTCACACAATGTTTTCCTATCCATTGGTTTGTGTTGTGTTTCATGTGTCTGAAGACCACCGATGAGACACTTGTGACACAATTGAGGCCATAATATGCAGAACCACAGCCACAATGAGTCCAAACTGATCTGCGATTCACCGCTTTGGGTATGTCTTCACGTGCTATCACCGCATGAATTGACTCACTTATGATGTTGTGATGATTGGATCCAAAGGACAATGAGGTGTTTTGGTGGACAACGAGCCCACGACTCACCGATTGCTTCCGACAGACACTTCTCATCACATTTGGTCCGATAGTTCTGCTTCTGTTGACTCCTTTCGACTTCCGGTACTTTGTCTGCAAAGCCGTCACTCTATCGATTCCATGGCGTCCCAGAAATGTCTCATCGGCGGTAAGACACGCGTTGCCACTCATCCCCACCAATCACTCTATAACTGATCCATTGTGTGGTCTCAACAGGTCTTAAACTTAGTGATGATATCAATCAGTTTCTGGCATTTGCTTCGTTCCGTTTGGAAAGACGTGGACTTCTGGAGCACTGTCTTCGAGCCAATGGTGGACTTCTTGGGCCTATCGATGGCATACTTCCTGCAGATCTATTACCGGCGAAACGGGCGCCGGATATCGATAGCCCTTCAGGTGTTTTGGTTGATAACAGCCGTGGTGTCGATAATACGCCTCTATTTGGAGCACAACCTCACGGACACCACAATCACCCACAACACCAATCATTTGACTTATCTGATCGTCTATTGTGTGTATATCTCGCTGTCAGTCATACTCTTCCTCTTATCGCACGTCTGTGACGAACCCTCCCATCGATACGTAATCACCTCTTCGACAAACACCCACTCCTTCTGTGCCCTCGAGAACGAGTCGGCCCTCTCGAGGGTCACCTTCCTATGGGTCCTCACATTCCTCCGCAAAGGCTTTCACCGGAAACTCCAATTCAAAGACTTGAACCGTATTTGTCACTCAATTAAAGCCAAATACGTGTCGACACTGTTTCACAAAATCTATTCGCAATACAACTCAAGACCTAATACTCGATCTCATCGAAAGCCGAAACGCCTTCTCCCGGTGTTATGGTGTCTGAGCTATAAATATGTTTTATTTGCTGTATTACTGTTGGTTGTATACCTACCGGCGCTATACGGTCAGCCGTATATTCTCAATAAATTGATAGACTTTCTGAATGATCCCAAAGACCTCTTATGGCACGGAATTGTCTTCTCCGTTGGATTCGGTGTTTTAGGTGTTATTTCAACCGTTAGTTACCAACAGATCAATGCTCTGATGGAAAACACTGCCATCAGATGTAAGTCAGCACTCATTTCAGTCATTTACCGCAAAATGTTTTGNTAAAGCCATTTTTAGTAAACATTGTGTCCTTTGTCCTCATCTCTAATATGAAGCCAATTCTTATCCACAGAATAATCGATCGATTCTGTGATTCCTATGTCTGCAGAGGGAGTGCACTGCGAGTCCACAACCATTACGTCACCCATTGCTGAGACTGTCATGTGTTTTGTGTTGACATAGCATTGCAGTGAACGCACAGACAATGCAATCACACAATCACTTCACACAATGTTTTCCTATCCATTGGTTTGTGTTGTGTTTCATGTGTCTGAAGACCACCGATGAGACACTTGTGACACAATTGAGGCCATAATATGCAGAACCACAGCCACAATGAGTCCAAACTGATCTGCGATTCACCGCTTTGGGTATGTCTTCACGTGCTATCACCGCATGAATTGACTCACTTATGATGTTGTGATGATTGGATCCAAAGGACAATGAGGTGTTTTGGTGGACAACGAGCCCACGACTCACCGATTGCTTCCGACAGACACTTCTCATCACATTTGGTCCGATAGTTCTGCTTCTGTTGACTCCTTTCGACTTCCGGTACTTTGTCTGCAAAGCCGTCACTCTATCGATTCCATGGCGTCCCAGAAATGTCTCATCGGCGGTAAGACACGCGTTGCCACTCATCCCCACCAATCACTCTATAACTGATCCATTGTGTGGTCTCAACAGGTCTTAAACTTAGTGATGATATCAATCAGTTTCTGGCATTTGCTTCGTTCCGTTTGGAAAGACGTGGACTTCTGGAGCACTGTCTTCGAGCCAATGGTGGACTTCTTGGGCCTATCGATGGCATACTTCCTGCAGATCTATTACCGGCGAAACGGGCGCCGGATATCGATAGCCCTTCAGGTGTTTTGGTTGATAACAGCCGTGGTGTCGATAATACGCCTCTATTTGGAGCACAACCTCACGGACACCACAATCACCCACAACACCAATCATTTGACTTATCTGATCGTCTATTGTGTGTATATCTCGCTGTCAGTCATACTCTTCCTCTTATCGCACGTCTGTGACGAACCCTCCCATCGATACGTAATCACCTCTTCGACAAACACCCACTCCTTCTGTGCCCTCGAGAACGAGTCGGCCCTCTCGAGGGTCACCTTCCTATGGGTCCTCACATTCCTCCGCAAAGGCTTTCACCGGAAACTCCAATTCAAAGACTTGAACCGTATTTGTCACTCAATTAAAGCCAAATACGTGTCGACACTGTTTCACAAAATCTATTCGCAATACAACTCAAGACCTAATACTCGATCTCATCGAAAGCCGAAACGCCTTCTCCCGGTGTTATGGTGTCTGAGCTATAAATATGTTTTATTTGCTGTATTACTGTTGGTTGTATACCTACCGGCGCTATACGGTCAGCCGTATATTCTCAATAAATTGATAGACTTTCTGAATGATCCCAAAGACCTCTTATGGCACGGAATTGTCTTCTCCGTTGGATTCGGTGTTTTAGGTGTTATTTCAACCGTTAGTTACCAACAGATCAATGCTCTGATGGAAAACACTGCCATCAGATGTAAGTCAGCACTCATTTCAGTCATTTACCGCAAAATGTTTTGCTTGAGTCCCGGCTCAAGATCTCAGTACACTTCCGGAGAGATTATTAACTTAATGGCCGTCGACTGTAATGAGATTTTCAATTTCATTAAGATATCATTAAATTTAGTGATAGTTCCCATCACTGTGTCCATCGGTTTATACTATTTATGGCAATATTTAAGACTCGCATCTCTAGGCTTAGTGGCGGTTATGGTGTTTGTCATACCATTCAACGTACTCTTTGGTCACATATTAGACAAATTGCAGAAAAATCAGATGTCTTTCAAAGACAAACGAATGTCAAAAATAGGCGAAATTGTAAACTCAATTAAATTGATTAAATTGAATGCTTGGGAAGAGGTGTTCATTGAACAAGTGAATCAACTGAGAGACTCGGAGTTAAGGGCGCAGAGAAAGATGGCTATTCTTTACGCGTTCATAGTGTTGGTGTGGATTATGGCACCGGTACTATCGGCCAGTGCCTGCTTTATTGCCTATGCTTTCATGGAGTATTCAGATTTCAATATAAAAACCATTTTTGTGTCGCTCTCTATACTAAACATATTGCGGAACCCAATGGCTAATATCCCATCGGTTATCAATGGTCTCATTCGCGCCACCGTTTCACTCAACAGACTTTCAAAGTTCTTGAGCGCAGAGGAATTGGTCTACAAATCCATTAGACGTAAAAGATATGACAGTTTTAGTGTTTGCATAGAAAACGCAAGTTTTGGCTATAGTTTAGATGAAGCGGCGGTACTCAACGACCTGACCATCAATATTAAAAGGGGATCACTAGTAGCTATTGTTGGCGAAGTGGGCGCCGGGAAGTCAACCCTGTTATCGGCCATTATAGGTGTTGTTCACAAACTAAGCGGTGATTTAAAAGTAAACGGGAGTCTCGCTTACGTTTCACAAACCGCGTGGATTCGTAACATGAAGTTAAAGGACAATATAATATTCACTTCGGATGAGGACGAGAACCGGTATGAAGACGTGATCAGCGCCTGTGCTCTGCGACAAGATATAGCTGTTCTGCCGGCTGGGGACCAGACAATGGTTGGCGAGGGAGGCATTACTCTGAGTGGAGGTCAGAGGCAAAGGGTTAGCTTAGCGCGAGCTATATACCAAAATTGTGATATATATCTGTTGGACGACCCGCTGTCCGCTGTGGACGCGCACGTCGGCCAACACCTGTTCCAAGAAGTAATTGGTCCCAAAGGACTACTTCGACATAAAACCCGTTTATTATGTTTACATAACACGAGGTATCTTCCGGATTGCGATCAAATTATTGTGTTAAGAGATGGAGAGGTTGTCGGTTACGGGAACTATAGCGAACTGTCATCCCTTGGACTTCTCCATCAAATTAATACATTAGACGAATATAGCGATCAAATGAACGACAAATCATTTTTAACCAATTCAAACACGTTGTATCAAAAGTTAGCCCATAAGAGTTCAATCAATAGTGAATCCATTGATGTAGGGTTACCATCAACTAGTGATGAGATAACTGTCACATCAGTCGAGAGCTCAGAGCCGTCTGAACCGATAAATACAAGCGATGACGAAGAAGTGGTATATTTGGGAAGTGTTCTCTGGAATGATTACTACCGATACATATCGAGCATAGGATTCATATTATTTGTGACAATCATTTTGTTCAGATTTGGTTCAAACGGCAGCGAAATTGCGCTTAACTATTGGTTGAGTTTGTGGTCAAATCATAATACGTCCGATATTACTGACAGAAACTTTAATTTTATAATCTATGGCTCACTTTTGGTTAGCGAAGGAATTTTCATACTATTGGGAAATATTGTCTTATTTGTGGCCACAATCAGAGCTTCCAGACGATTACATTTGAGGGCAATGTATGGTGTATTGCGATCTCCGCTATCATTCTTCGATAGGACACCAATGGGACGGATATTAAACCGTTTCAGTCGTGACATATCGAGTGTCGACGAATCGATTCCCGATTTTCTTATCTCTTTAATCGATATCTTAACCCTATTTGCAGTCCTCTATGGTCTCGTGTTTTACAATTTCAGATACTTATCACTAGTGCTGTTGGCTATAATAGCAGTGTTTTATTTAATTTATGTATGAATTATTTGAAAAAGCTCTTTGAAACCTGGGATAACTTTACTTATTTTTACGTATTTTTATTTTTATGATAGAAATTTTATTTAAGGACTTCCCGTCAGATGCGGCGAATGGAATCGATCAGCAATTCCCCTCTTCAGAGCCACTTCTGCGAGAGCATCGCCGGCGTCGACACTATCATAGCCTACAATGTTTTGCCACAATTTATCAATGGGTCGAACAAAGAGATTGATTTGAGTCTCAACTGCTATTATCACAGAATTTCGCTTAATTTATGGCTAAGAATTTGGTGTCAAATAATTGGCTCCTTTATCACAACAATTATCTCCGCGTATTTGGTGTGGAATCGCAATCACATCGCCATTGGTTTGGCCGCTCTATTGATGATCTATAGCGTGGAGACTGTACTCAACATTTCGTATACCATCAGAATAATGGCTGATTTGGAGACTAATATGATATCTGTTGAGAGACTCCGAGAGTTCTGTGATTTGTCTCCAGAAAACGAGTGGAAGTCGTTAGCCGTTCACAAGCCGTCCCGCCATTGGCCACAAAGCGGTCGCATTGAATACAAAAGTTATTCAACTGCTTATAAAAGTGGTCACAAATCGGTCCTAAAAGACATTAGTTTTACGATAAATAGCGGCGAAAAGGTGGCAGTTGTTGGCCGTACCGGCGCTGGAAAGTCATCGCTAGTTCTGTCATTATTCCGCATCATTGAGCCAATCGGCGGACAAATACTAATCGACGGCTTAGATGTGACGCGAATTGGTTTACATGACTTGCGATCGCGTCTGACAATCGTTCCGCAAGAGTCGACACTCTTTGCGAATACAATTCGAGTCAATTTGGATCCGTTGGGTGAGTGCGATGACCACCAATTGTGGGCCATTTTGGATGACTTGAATTTAAGCCAATTTGTGGACTCATTGCCCGACAAATTGGATTATAATGTGACCGAAAAGGGAGAGAATTTAAGCGCCGGTCAAAAGCAGTTGATTTGCTTTGGAAGAGCTCTGCTCCGGAGGACAAAGATTGTGGTGTTGGACGAGGCGACCAGTTCTTGCGATTTGGAAACGGATCGCACGATTCAGAAGATAATTAGACAGAAATGGAGCGAATGTACAGTCATTTCAGTTGTTCACAGATTGGACTCAATTCTAGATTATGACAAAGTTTTGGTCATTGATTGCGGATCTCTTGTTGAATACGATTCACCCGAAAGGCTACTCTTGGATACCAATTCATTGTTTTTCAGACTCGCAAAGGACGCCAAAATTATTTGATGTATTTTTTATACAACTTTAAAGTATGATTTTATTTATCCTATTTTTACTGATCGTGTTTTATGTTATTCGTTATTCATATTACTATTGGGAACCCTGCAATAGTTTACACTATTTTCATAATACATTTTTGTTTAAATTAGTATAAAGCAATATACCATTGTTAATAATGACCAAATTTATTATATTTTTTATTATAATAATTCCAACATTACAGACTTTTTGATATGCTGTATACCGTATTTTAAATAAATTTTCTAATTTAAATATAATGTAAATTTTAATTGCCTTAAGAATAAAGTTATATATACTGTACTGTAGTTTGCATCGAAATTAGTCTCATGAGTAAATGTTAACATTTATTTAATAATGAAACTTTAATTTAAACTTTAATTAATTGTTTCTATAGTTTTAGTTATATTTGTTATACAGTAAAAGACATCAAGACATCAATTCTTAGAGAAATTATTCAGTTTTAATCAATTTTAAAGTAATGTTTAGAAGTTGTTTGTGTTGTTATAAAGTAATGTTTGTGTTTTGAAAGCTATAAATGTTTTCCAACCGAAAAGTATTTGATATTATTATGGAATATAATACAATACATAAAAAGTTTATATCGATTCATAAAATCTCAGAGAATAATAGAAACGAAAAGCTATTAATACTTAACAAATGAATGTCTATTATTGAGAAAACTTTTTGATGCGATTCTTATTATGATATTTATTGTGATTATTAACAAAATTGTGAATAAACTTAATGTAGAAACGCATTGAATGAAAGAAAAAAGGGATATATTTTTAAAAAGATTGCATCAAATGACCAGAATTTGTATCTATTGTTATTCTCTCTCTCTCTCTCTCTCTCTCTCTCTCTCTCTCTCTCTCCTTTCATTCCTTTCATGCATTTCTTATATTCATTTTTTATGCATTTCTTCCCATATTTTTCTCGTATTCTTTCCATTCTTTGGATTCCTGTCTTATATTTTACTACAATTTCTCTCGTTGTCTGTATTGAAGCTCACATTTTATTCAATTTATTTTTGTTGGTCTGATTGTCAACCAATACTATCGCATCCAATGATGAAACATATTGTCAACGACTAATGTCTTCCCGTTTTTTACAATTTTTTTGTTCGCTATTTCTATTTTTGCTATTTTTTCCATTTTATATGTTTTGTGCAAAAAATTCATGGCAATCTATTATATTTAATTGAATTTATAATTGATTTATTGATTATATTTTGTCAACCGTGAGTTTATTACAGTTAACTCATATATTATTTACTACTTACAGCATATGTGTAAAAACCAATGGATGGATATTACGATTGTTAACAAATTTAATGCCTTAAAAACTATTGATTAAATCAATTCAATGAATTCAATTGGTTTCAATCATATAAAGTAGTTTTCATGTCATAAAAGAAAAGCATAAATAGAGTTGAGTTTATTTGAAAACTCTGTGACAAATCCCTTATAAGTTATAACTGAAAAATATATATAAAAAACGAGTGCTTTTTATTAAAATGAAATTTATAGTGAATGGAGAATGAGTTGAATTGAAACTCAAATCCTGCATCAAATGAATCAAAAAAACTGACGTTTCGTGTAATTATTACAAAGAAATCTATTCATAGATTATATGAATTGATGGACTCATTTTAGATACAAATAGATGGAAAATGTATTTTGTAATTAATTTGAGTTGTATTGTAGGAATGATAACTAAAAATATTATTGTAAATTTCATAGACATACTGATATTTGATATTAAAAGTTATCTGTACTAAAAAATTCTATACTATTATGGTTATAGAAATAAACTTATTTAGATAGATATAATTATTTGGTTACATATTAAATTAAAATTGTAAACTTTTCACCGAATTTTGAATGTGAAAATATTTTATTACTCGGAGACTACAGAATATACATATGATATGAGTATAAAATAGCAAAGAATACAAAAGGATTGTGAATATTATTTCAGATCATTCTTTATGAGCCCATAGAGTGGCATCAGTTGTACATCAATTTCACTCAAATATAAGAAAATGTAAGTAAATCTATCAAAAAAGACTTCACACACAATAGCCCTCCCCTACGATTCCGCCAAAACTCTCTGAGAAATATTTTTTTGCGAACAAAAAAATATTCTCTCTTTTTTTGGTTTCCATATAATAGTTTGAAAAAAGTAATAAATTGTATGCATATTATATAATAGAGAAGAAAGCGGAGATTGCATTTGGAAATGTATTTCAAAATTAATGAACTGAAGTTTTTTTCGCTCTATTGTTATGTCATATATTAGTTGAATACCAATAATGCAATTCAATACCAGTTTTTCGCTCTCCCTTTCCTTTTATATTCATTTTTTTTGCGCTAATTCTTGTGCTTTTTATTGCATGAATTGTGATTTTTGTAAATTTTATGTCAATTAAAACGGATGAGACCCCCTCCCACTCCAGATTATTATTCATATAGTTTTTTGCAGTTTACAAGAATTTGTTATTGTTTTATAAAATTTTCATTCGCTTTAATCAATTAATCATTAACTGAATATATATAAACTTTATATTTTAAAATTTAGAAATTCTTTGTAGTAATTTTTAAATATTTTTTAAATACAAAGTTAATGATTTGTGAATAAAAATAAATATTATTCTATGTAACGTAAGTTTTCATTAAAAGAAATAATTAGTTTATATAAAAATTTATTTAATAATTAATGCAATGGCATGTGTACAGCAAAATCTACAGAATTCTTATACCAGTAAAGAATTATATGAAATTTAATGAAAATTAGTTGTGGTCATTAAGTATGACAACAAAAAATATTAATTAAAGTCTTGAGTTTATATAGTATTTTTAAAATAAAATTTATTTATTTAATATTTAATATACGGTGGATATTTATAAATTAAAATGTATAAAAATTTTATTACTAAAATTAATCCAGAAATTAAAAATATTTGTTATAAAACCTTAATAAAAGTCATAAAACATTTTTGTAAAAAAAGTAACTATTAAATAATTTGAATTACCCTACTGAATTGTTGTATAATACAATATGCATATAATACTGTACTGTATAATAAAAGAGTAATAATTTCTAAATTATAAATTTATTCATAAAAAGAAAGTCAAATAAATAATTCTTTTGTTCTCAAAAGTAATCTCTTTTTTAAGTCAACTTTCATTTAACTCATTCTCAATGCATGTATTAATCGCTGAAAAACAGTTAATTAAAAAAGTTTTTTCTGAATAGATGTCTGAGAACTAGAGTAAAGGTTTAACGCAGAAAATAATTTGTGAATTTGTTTCCCAAACTATAATCTCATTCACATTAACAAAGGAATGTAAAATCAGTACAAATTATGCACTTTTTATATCCGAAATTCAAACAAAAACTCTAAATCTTATGTTTAAAGAAGAGCTCAAAAAATGAATTGATAAAAATTTATGTCTAAATTTTGGTTGTAATCTTTGAAACAGCATTCATGCAAATAATTGGGAATTTTTCTTATGAGGCATTCAATTGAGTTTAGTTTCCAATTATGATTATATATTTTGCATATTTTGTATATTATATTATTCTAAACACTATTTTAAGGTTCATTTAATCTTGCGCTCAAATATCCCCTATAATTGCAGAGCACATGGAATTAACTCCTTAACGAACCCTAACATCAAATGTATTATGTTTTGAAAGTTATATTTTGTCAACTTTTACTATAATTATGAAATATTCAACAATTTTTGCAGCTTGCAATTTAAATTTGCAGTTTAATTCCTAGATTAATATTGTCAGCTAAATAAAAATAAAATTCCTGTTTTAATTGTATTAGATGTTGTTAAATTAGATTGAATTGAACAATTACTTTGTAATAAATATTTTAATAAATAGACAATGTAATACAAAATAATAATTTCTTAAACACTTTCGGAATATAAATGTTTGCTATTTCAAACATTCAAATTGAAACAATTTATTCAGTTTATTAGGAAACATTTTATAAAGAATATAAGGCTTAAGGATTGAAATCAATGTAAAATACATTTTAATAAAAAAAACTTGAATTAGTCTTTACATTATTTTAAATAAATTAAAACTATATGCAATATTTGTTATACGAATGAGAGAGAAATTATTTTCAAAAGTGTTTTATTTGCATAATATTATTGAATTAGAATTTCAAATTCATTTCTATTATTTGCTCTATTTATATATAAAGTGCTAAAAATATATACCGTTTTTAGAAACAAAAAAAGCAAAAATTGGTTCCTTTTCTGTGTTGTATTTAAATGAAATAAATTTAATAAAAAGACAAATATGTCGTTGAGTTGACACAAGAAATATCAGAAATTAAATGAACAAAAAAGCCTATAATCAACGAAAATATCTCATACATTAAAACAGACCAATCATTAGCCATCAAATGGGATATCATATGATTTTACACTCAATTTATTTATATATTGTCACGAATTACAAAATAAATCAATCCGAGACTTATCACAACTAAAATTTATTTCTATCCAATATATAAGAAAAAAATTTTTTCGTACTAATAATACTTACAATTGGCTGAATGTATCATAAATTGGATGTGACATCAAATAGTTTAATATATCCTATATTTACGTGAAAACAAAAGTCCAATCGAAATACCAATGAATTTGCCTTTTTATATATAAGCAGATATTTGACTTAAATGTTATCTCTTAATGCAATATTAAATTAAACCTTCAATTTATGGCTCAATTCAATCCCAAACAGCGATTGGAGTTAAGGTTTCTCTTGTGTTCCGTTCAGTCACTCAATCAATAAGAGAAAGAGAGAAATGAATCCAAACATCAAAACATTGGCCCATCTTTTCATTTAACGCTTGAATTCATCTAAAATTGATTTGTTTTGTAAATACAACCCAATTGTACATAAAATTTAAAGATTTTTGTACAGCAATATTTTTTATTTAACACATATGCCGTACGTTT